TAGTTTTTACCCACTGCCTAGATTGTTCTTTGCTTCAAACTGAACCATAATTTTTTTTTTTACCTGAAAAAGCTTGTTCAGATTATTTGTCATATGGTGTGTGACCGTGGTCTGAAGCAATACTCTGAAGCACAATGTCTGGGACCTGGCTTATAGGATCCCTTGGAGGGGGTGATGCTACCTCCCCACAGAAGGGTTCTACATTAATACATGTGCAGAGAGTAGTGCTGATTGCCCACTTGATTATTTGGAAAGGGTTTTATGACACTCCTGCCTCTGGCTCTTCATTGGCTGTGGAGCAGTAGAGAGAAAGACAGTTGATAAAATAAGAAGAATGAGAGTGAAATGTACCTAGCATGGTGGCTGGTGCAAAGGAGTTTGCAAGAAATATTACTGTTTCTTCTTCCTTCTGTATTCACAGAGAAGACTGGATCAGAAACAGAAGGACACAGGTTTTTTGAAATGCCTCACCATGGCTACATTTGGGTGCAGCCCGAAGTATATAGGAACCTATTGGCTGGGCAGAAATCTAATTTGTTTGTCTTATTTCTCCAGCTGTGACTTGACTCTATTGGGAACTGGACTGCTCACTGTGGCCAAAGGCGCACAGGATCAGTTATGATTATAAAAGCTGGCTTCAACTTATTCAGTATGTTTTATGGGAAAGATGGTGTCCTATATGCTTTACATAACACAGATCATGGAATCCCTACACAAATTTATGTATGTATGCGATTGAGAGATGCCAGGTCATTTGCTCAGAGTCATCCAGTTAGCAATGGTTGAAGCTCTCCCTGGAATCCAGGATGGGATGCCTCCAAATCCCACGCCTCTAACTTCTTGTTATGTTTCCTGTTATGGTTTTGGTTTCATGTAATAAAGAGTATCCACCAAGAAGCCCAGTTCCTCAGAGACTATCTTTCCTATCCCTTCACAATAATGGCCAATTTTTATGTTACCAGTACCCATGACTCCATCCTCAACATTTCCTCTTGCTTTGCTTTCTGATGCTCCAAATGTCACTGTATAGCTGGAACACAAGAAATGGATGGCTTGGGCTCCAACCGTGTACCACTGAGAGAGGCTGTAAGGCTACCTTATGACAGGCAGCTACACAGGGACCCTGCAATTAAGAAAAGCATTAAAAAGGGAAAGAGATTATAACCAGAATGAAACTGAGAGTATGGAGCTCATCACTGAGAAGTCATCATTGGAGATGTACAGCTATTACCATATTCATTCTTGCAAGAGAGAGGCAGAATTCAGAGTAGAAATCTTGTTCAGTGAAGGGTGTTAGAAGTCAAGTAGTCCTTTCTAAGAAGTCCAGAATCTATCAAAAGAGAATGTAGGGCACCTAATCTACTGTTAACGAATAACTGGGCTCTGGCCTGGGTTGCATCTATAGGACTATGGAAGGGTCTTCCCGTTCATGAGGCTGACAGATTTAGGGACTGTACCACTTAATCTGAGTTGTCAGTTTGACTGGATTAATTAGACTCCTGGAGAGGCAATTGAATGATGGGAGTGCTGTGCTTGTTAGTGGATTAATATACTATGTTCGTAGATGAGTGTGCTGTCAGGAGGTGGGGCCTGGTTGGAGGTGGCAGGTGACTTGGAGTGAGCCTTGGAGGCTGTATCTCTCACTGGCATTTTCCCCTTTCTCTGCTGCTGAGACTCCACAAAATGAAGAGCTTTGCTAGACCACACCCTTTTGCCATGATGTCCTCACTGTGGAGCCAACCACTTCTCAAAATGTGAGCCAAATTTAACCTCTCTGCCTTTAAATTGTGAATATCAGGTATTTTGTCTCTGCAATTGGATAGGTGACCAATACAGTGATCATCTTCGAAGTGAAATTTATAGGCACTAGAGTTGTAGGTTGTTTCCAGTTCTCATCCAAACTTTGAGAACTGGTCATATTCTAAAGCCCTTCAGAGAGCTTAAAACCACTGTGGGTGCATAGTACGTGCTTAATAAGTATCTCATCAACTTGTTCGAATGCAGCACAGCAGCTCTTTCATGTCCTTAGCCTCCTCCAGAGGAAAATTATAATGTTGCACACAGGAGTAGCAGGGCATCAAAGGGATGTCTGACATTTTAAATGCTGATTTCAAATGCTCAGAGAAATCTCATACTGCATTACGTTTTTGCCTCAGCAGTGTCTGTGATATATTCTCAGCATGTAGCAGTCTTCAGAATGCTGCCAGCACATGAGTGTAGCTATTTGAGTGAAGAAGGTAAAAATTCCAGTAAAAGTTATAACAAAAGTGAAGTGTGGAACACAGAGACATTTGTTTCTGAATGAAACCCTGGGACACAGGCAGGGTAACTGAAGGAAGGCCCAGATCTAAATGTCCTAGCAACTGAGTTCAGAGGTAGAGAGCCTGAAAGAGCATCACTCTTCTCCTCCCTAAAGAAAAAATCTGAGCAACTTGATAAGTAATTGCTTTTCCTGGAATCCATCAGAAAACTGAAGTTGCAGGGCAAACAATTCACCCAAAGTCTGGAGAGGGATGGATGTTTGCAAGAACTAAGGTCTTGACATTTATGTACCTCCACACATCATGATGCAATAAAAGTGGATAAGAAAACTTGGCTAGAGATTTTTTTAAATGGCTAGAATGTGTTGGTGCAGACTAGTGAAACTTCCCTAGGGGCTGCAGATGTGGGGAGGGTTGCACCTGCCCGTGGACCTTCTCCAGCAATCTCCCAGCAGGGGCTCATAGGGGAGATGGGGGACGGTCCTGAGGAAGCTTTCTGCCACATTGCTGGCTGGAGAAAACCACTGCTGGATCTCTACTGAGACTCATACCCATTTATATCTACCTTGAAGGGACAAAGCCTTAATCTGCATTGAGAAGAACAAGAAAGACTGCAGTCCAGGGACACTGGTGGTCAATTCATTGTATGTGGCCAGGGACAGGGAGCAGGAGAATTTTAAGAAGCTCAGTCTTTGGTGCAGAAATAAATGCTAGTCTAACTTCATGTTAGATATGTATAAAATCAAAACAAAACAAAAGAAACCTGTCTCTCAAACTCAATGTCTGCACCCAACAGAGGCTTAATGAGAAGTGCAGAGAATGTCTAACCCCGCCAAAAATTGAGTAAAACTTACAGTACAATAAAAGTAATAGTGGAGTACTGAGGCAGGAAATAGTGTGGGAGCCATCTTGGTCTTAGCTTCACAGCAGACAAGATGTCTTCTGGTTCTTGGAGACCAAAGGAACATCCTGCTCTCACTATATTTCTTAACATCCTGGTGGGAGCCTAAAACATATGCTCCTGCCCTTATCACACTTCCTTAACTTCTGACATGAGCCTGAGGAGCACTCTAACTGCATCAGAGCAACTGAGGGTAACCCCAAGGTCATTATGATATGGTTTGTGTTGTGGTTTTGACCTCTTTGGTGGGCTTTGGCAGCTGTTCCATCCAATCCTATATAAAGCCCAAAGCTCTCCTTCCCAATGTGAAGACTCATTTAATTGGACAAAACCCAGGTGGTTATCCCTCCTGAACACACTCAGGGAGCTTTTGTTTATAAGTGTTCAGCTGCCCTAATCTATAAAACAAACTTACTCACAGACGTGGAACTTGAGCCACATTTAAATCCTCTTGGCCACAGTTAATCCTCAGAGATACCTTAGCATATGCAGAGTCTTAGTCCAGTGCTGCTTTGGGACCTCAGGAATCTAAGGCCTTGAAAAATACGAGAAAGGGCCACATGCAGTTTAATTGAAAATGTACGGTTCCACTCTAAATTGGTGAAGTTTCACTGAACCAAAAGCTCTTCTGAGAGCCATGGAAATGTCCCAGAGGGCTGATAAGCCACGGGTCAGATCTGAATCCTTAGAGGCCTCCGACTCCAAGCATCAATATTCTCATATGCTTCTATATGGCTACAGCTGTGTAGCAGTGATGGTGAACCTTGCAGAGTTTTCAGTGGTGCCTGCCAGAGATTTGCACCACTGCTGAAAGAGGTCTCTCATTTGGGGAAGCACAAGCCTTCTCCATTCCTTTCCCCTTCTCTTTGCCTGCCCCATTATCTAGAGCACTCACTTTGTCGAGAATAGAGATGCTGATGAAAACAACACTGAGATTCCACCTCACCCCAGAGAGAATGGCTGCTATCAGGATATCCACCGATAACAAATGTTGGTGGGGCTGTGGGGAAAGAGGAGCCCTGCTCCACAGCTGCTGGGAGTGTAGATTGGTACAACCACTGTGGAAATCAGTATGGAGATAGCTCAAAGAACTAGGATTAGAGGCCCCATCTGACCCAGCTATTCCCCTGCTGGGTATCTTCCCCAAAGAACTCAAAGAATCATACCACAGTGATATATGCTCACCCATGTTCATAGCAGCACAGTTTGTAATAGCTAAAACTTGGAAACAGCCCAATTGCCCATCAACTAGAGACTGGATAAAGAAAAATGTGGTTCTTTTTATACAATGGAGTACTACTCAGCCATAAAGAATGAGAAACTAGAGACATTTATAACTAAATGGATGCACATTGAGGCCATACTCTTAAATGAAATAAATAGGACAGGCATGTTCAAATGCCAAATAGTTTCTCTGGTGTAAGAAACTGAATGTGTAAATAAAGATCAAAAGGTATAACAGATAATGTGAAATAGGTTTTACAAAAAGGGCCAAAGGGAAGGGGAAGTAGGAGAGGTGGGGAAAGGAAAGAATGGAATTAATATGAGAGAAATGAAACAATGGAAACACTCTGTTTTAAACAGGGAGCAGTGGAGTGGTTAAAGGGAGGGCAGAGGAATGGGGAAAAAATAGATCCAAGATAGACCATGTAAAGGTGCAAATTTCCAGTGATGAATGTCATTATATTGTATACCTAAAATGTACCCATAAAATTAATTTTAAAAACAACATAATAAAAAAAGAATGCAAGGCTGGATTTGTTGTTATTTGACTCCCCGATGACAGCCATTCTTGAGAAGGTGGAATCTCACTGTTACTTTTATTTGCATTTTTCCAGTGGCCCAAGCTGGCAAAGATGTGGAGAGAAAGAAACCTCTCTACACTGCTGTTGGGAAAGTAAATTAGTACAACCACAATGGAGATCAGTACAGAGATCCTTCAAAACACCAAAAATAGAAATGTAAGTTGACCCAGCTATGTCTCTTTTAGGTAACTTCCCCAAAGAACTAAAGTCAGCATATTACAGTGATGTATGCATCCACACCCATGTTTATAGCTTCACAACTCACAATAGCTAAATCATGGAAGCAGCCTGTATACGCACTGACAGATAAATGGGTAAAGAAAATGTGCAAAACATACACAATGGGGCATCACTCAGCCATAGAGAAGGATAAATCTGAGTTATTTGTAAGGAAATGGATGGCTCTTGAGATCCTAAAATTAAGAGAAAGAAGTCACGAGTTTCAACATCACATTGTTTCTCTAATAGGAGAGACCCACAATATAAATAACTGAAAAAGCAAAAGAAAAGAGCCATATTAAGAAACAGCGAGGTGGATTCTCAGTAAAGGTAAGAAGGATCCAGGGAAACAAAGGGGGTAGTAGGGTCTCAGGAGAATAAAAATGATCAAGATGTGTTAAGCTGAATATAATCACTATGTATCATAAACACATACTAAAATTTTTTTTAAAATAAGGCAAGATAGTATGAGTTGGGAGAATCATCCCCAGATTAGCCTCTCTTTTGAAAATCCTGCCTTTTCTGGCTCATGTTTCTTGGGACACCCATTGGAGTTTACCAATATGGGTGGAAGGGTGGCCTTGGAGCCAGGAGGACCTTGTTTACAAGGCAGGAGCCTCTTCAGATGAGCACAGCTGTGTACACAAACAAGCAGATATGGACACACACAGGACAACACCTGGAATCACAATTAACTGATTGCACAGCGCCCCCAACACACCCCCACCTCCTGGGAGGATATGAGCCTGGGAGAACAGAATCCGTATCTTTAGGATTCCTTCTAGCCCCAGCACAAGCTTAATGATACAAGGCATACTATACACTGAACAAGTGTATAGTAAATGTGGAATGAATGTTAAGTACACACATAAGCACACACACATACACGGGGCCATGGTTATAAGCACTCTTGCTCCATTTGCTTTCCTCTACAGGGAATACTCGTGCCACGTGGCTGATTCAATGTGCATCATGCTTGCTGAACTGAGAGCTGCTACAATTTATTTATGTAGCACCCATTTTGCACAACTTGACTATCAAAACAAATAACCAGAATGGCTTTTTCCCCCAGAGGAGAAAACCCACTTTCTTTCCTGTCACATTTTCAGGAAGTGTCCAAAATATCCTTTCATTATTGGTCTGACCCTCACCTGGAGTCGGCTTCTCATTCCCCTGATGGAGAGCGCCTGCCACGGGAAAAGGCTGAGGCTTTTTGTCACTATCAAACAAGTGATGAAACTGTAGTCTGAAGCCTTCATCTCTCCTACCTGGGGACAGATGAGCTGCAGGTGTCATGTAGCTGGTGGCACGGTGGCTCACCCGTGTTCAAGGTTTGCAGTTAACATTGTTGCTTGAAATATTAACTTTGTAGAGCTCTTTCGGGAAGCTCCATCAATTTTCGTAGTTTGTATTTGTCTGCAGTACAGCCTTCTTTAGGAAGCCCTCTTATTTTCTATATTGAGTCCTGCATTCTCCTTCCTTCTCAATGTGACTGTCTTCTTTAATATTCATGAGCGTCTGCGGTAGGAACATTTCTGTGGGGACCTTGAGGCAGCTGTGGCATTGACAGCATCTTCCTTCCTGAACAGCAATGGCTGCTCTGAGCACTGCCTTAATAACGTCCAGACTGGCTCTATCTCCATAGAAGGAAGAAGGGCCTGCTGCTCATCTCTATTACAGTCCAAGGCAGGAGGAGGGATCTGAATGTAGTGGTTTGGATTCATAATGCTAGCCTTTCCCCTTCTCCATACCTATGCCCTTCACCATGTGACTTTCCAGGTCCTTCCATACAGAATCAAAATATACTCTCAGCACCTTGACTACAGGTGTCACCCTTAGAGTCTTGGTTTGGCTAATAGAAGGTTAGCGTACATGGCACCAGAGGAAGCTTTTACAAAGTGACTGGATTTGTACTAGTGCACCACATCCACCAGAAGGGCATGCATGGGACAGCCCGCTGGCTCCAAGAGTAGGGTGAGAAACTCGGGAAACAGAGCCAAGTCACTCTGTTGGAGCACATCCTTAAATAGCGACTTCTCCCTATATTAGTAAAGAGGGAAGAAGAAAAGGGGAAAATAAGAGAGCAAAATTTAGATTTGGATTTGCTCAGAGGCTCAAACTATGGACATTTGTAAAGCCAATATCTGTGTTTGAGATCATACAGGAACAAGTGCCCAGAATTTCAATAGACGATGAAGTCAGAGACATGATGAGAACTCGGTTGTTAGCAAGCACTCCAAACTAGCTGAAGAAACTTGGGCTTTATTCTTATTAAGCTATGATACACCTAAAATAAAATGTATAGCTCTTAAATGTTCAGCTGATGTAGTTGAATAATTATATGCCATCCAAAACAAGGTATACAGCATATGATCATCACAGAATGTTCCTGTAATCCTCATTCTTCTTCTCTCTCAGCCTACCCTTCCTTAGGGGCAATCACTTGTTGATTTTCACCAGCAGATTGTGTTTACCTGTTGGCGAATGCTATATAAGTGAAGTCATCCATTAACCTCTCAGCACATGGGTGCACTTACCATGGTGACATTCAGATTCTGCCATTCTTGCTGTTTGCCTCAGTTGATGGTTGACTTATTACTGAGGAGAATTCTCCATTTCATCAGTTCTGCTGTGAAAGGACATTTGGTTTATTTTCCACTCTGGAGCTATTAGGACTAATGAATAATGGTGTTAAGTACTTTTTGTATAAATCCTTTTTGTTTTGCTATATGGTTTCATTTCTCTTAAGTACATATCTAGCAGCAGATTCACTAGGTCAGAGCAACTGGCTGCTTAAATTTTATATAAGGATTTCCCAAACAGTTCCTCAAACTGATTGTACTATATTAAACTCTGATTAGAAAAGTACAACCATTCTACTCAACAGTTCCACTTGCTTGATAGTCTCACCAATATTGATATTGTCAATATTTTATCTTATTTTAGTCATTCCAGCTTGTGTGAGGTAGCTCTTTTAATTTTTATTTCCTTAATAACTGATGCACTTATTAGTCATTGAACCTTCCTCCTTTGTAAACTGTGCATGCTTTTTGTCCATCTTTTAGTAGACTGTTTGCTTCGGTGGTTCATTTGTATTCTAATATGAGTTGTATAGTTTGGATCAGGATTGTCCCCCAGAGGCCCATGAGTTAAAGACCTAGTACTCAGATTGGTGCTACTGAGGCAGGAGACAAACAGTGTGGGAGACATCCTGGCCTTAGGCTTACAGCAGACAGGAAGCCTTCTGACTCTTGGAGACCAGATACCCATAAAGGTTCAAAACTCCCCATCCCAACATGAGGTTGGAGACTCACAGTTGATTGGAAAGAAGCTCAATTATTCTCCATTGCCCAAAGTCTAGAGGAATAAAAGAAACAGCAACCTGGAACTCACCATAGTTGCCAACTCTGCCTCTGTCCACCCTCCATCCTTGAAGGTGTACTTGATGGCTGGCAGTTGACACCTCTGAACTGTGCATTCTTGGAAGCTTCTCAAATATGCTCTAACCTAACCTCAAATCTGAAACAGATAGGTTCCTCTGAGTCAAATTACCATGTGAGCAGATGAGAAAATTAAAGCCAATTTGACTGTGTTACTATTTCTGTGTGTCTTGCTTGATTCCTTGATCAGGATACCAAGAGTCTAGATAACAAGTAAGACTGAGACAAACTGTCGTGTGACACTACTAGTAGGTGGTGGAAACTTTCAGAGGTAGGGCCAAGTGGGAGGTCTCCCACTCTTTGGGGTATGCTCTTGGATGGGATAAAGGGATGCCATCCATTTCTCTTTCTCTTGTTCACATTCTGGCCAACCATGAGGTGAATGGTCTTGCCATATGCTGCCGCCATGATGTGCTGGCTGCACATATGTGCCTGAAGGCAAGAGCCAACCAATCATGAGCTGAACTCTCTAAAACCCTTCTGTAAGCCAGAAGGAAACCTTTTCTCATTACAAACTGATGTTTTAGATGTTTTATAGTAAAGAAAGTTAACACCTGAGTACTTTGTCAGATATGCATATTAAAAATATTTTCATCCAGTGACTTGTTTTAAAATCGTCAATGGTGTCTTTTGATGAGCTTAATATTTTTATTTTGAAGAACTTCAATTTATCGTTTTCTCCTGTCATGCTTTTGCAATCTGTGTAGAGAAAGCTTTGCCTCTCTAAAGTCATGAGGATCTCTTATCATACCTTCTAATGACCTGATCATATTTTTCTCCTGTTTATGTCTAAGAATACTTCAAATTAATATTTGTGCATGGAATAAAGGAGACACAGGGATTTATTTCTCTTCACATAGCAATCTGGATTGTTACAAGGCCATGTATTAAAAAGATACTCTTTTCTCCACTAAAGTCATCTTTCATCATTGTAAAAATCAAGTGACCATACGAAGTTGACCTGTACCTGGCTTGTATGTTTTGTCGCCCTGTTTTCCAAAGAACTTGCCCTGGTAAATTGAGTTCTGTTGTACAGTATTGTCACGAATACATTCTGAATTCAATTCTTCTAATCAAAATAATTCTAGAGATACTGATTTATTTACTTTGTTGTACCAAGGTTTGAATCTGGGGCCTTCACGCTGCGTTACATCCCAAGCCCATTATTTCTTTCTTATTTTCAGACAGGGTCTGGCTAAGTCACTACGTTGCTCATGCTGTGCTGGAACTTGCAATCCTCCTGGGTCAGCCTCCCAGAGTGTGGGATATGTCAGGCATATTTTATTTTATATTAACATGTATTAACTTTATACATTAACGAAGTTCAGTTTTATATTGCAATACACACAAACAACATGCTGATCCAATCAAGCTTCCCTTTATTTAGCCTCCATTTCCTCTTTCTCTCCTAACTTCTAGTAATCACTATTTCACATTAGGGTTGACTGTTTTTAAACTTTCCACATATGAGAAAGAGCAGACCATATAGTGGACCCT